GCCTGAGGTTTTCAGCTCAACACAATTACTTTGGATGTGTTTGTGTGTGTGTATTTTTTTCACAAGATGCAGCGAAGCTTGAAAGCTCCAAACAAGCACAGGATCAGCTGGGCAAACCTGAAAGATCCATTTCTTTTCTAAAGATTGGGAGGAGGAAATAACACATATTTTCAACAGAAAAAGGGAAAAGTAAATAATTTAAAATATTGGTGCATGAGTTTGTAGCTAATCAGGAGTGTTTCTGACATGCCTTTGGACTCATGCAGGATGTCTCCATCTGTGCAGCCCTCAACAGAAGAAATAAATGTCAAATTAACTACTGGAGCATGAGAGATGTATCCAAAATAAAGTCTCTCAAGGAACATTCTTCTTTGGTGCCCTGTAGAAATCTGGGGGAAGTTGAGAGTTTTGGAAGGCATGCAAAGGTCTTAAACCTGGAGGTAGAAGTAAATGAAGTGAAGAAAATATGAGGCAAATGTTGTTACAAACCATGAAAGAAACAGAGGAGGAAGAAAATGCTTTCCCTGAGGCTGTGAAATTATTGAATTGTCCAAACCACAGGCAGCTGGTTTAAAGAGTTGATAAAATTTATCTGGCATTTCACCTCGTTAATAAACTCTTGATCTACCTCTGCCCATTTGGGTTCCCAAGAGGCTTCTTCCCAAGAGATAGAAAGGAACTGCTTCTGGTGATGTTTTCCTGCACAGAGGAGGAACACAGGGATGGTTTCATAGGGGCTCAGAATCACGGAGTGGTTTGGGTTGGAAGGGTCCTTAAAGATCATCTCCCCATGGGCTTTGGTGCAGTGTCACCCCAGCCCTGGGAAGGGTGACAGGGAGGTTGTAGCGCTGTCAGCCTCACAGTCCTCCTGGAGGAAGGACAATATCGTGTTTTTTGAAGCCCTTGTTGAGTCCTGGAGTTGAACATCCATTGATAGAGACACTCAGCTAGGACTGGGGTGAATTCCCAACAAGCAGGAGTCGGTGGCACCTGAACACAGAATGGGCTAATCCTCAGATTCTGCATGCCAGTTCAGTGTTGTGCTTGTTTTGGTTTTTCTCTATGAGGATCAAGAGATCTGGGAACACAGGGCAGGAGCAATCTAATCAGTCAATTTACAGCAGCAATGAGATTGGGCCAGATGCTTTATTGCACAGGACTTATGGGCCCAGCAGGGTAAATAATAATAGCAGGAGCTTTTAAACTCAGGTCTACTCTTTGTCAGAGAGCTGGAACATAAAAGCACCTCCTTTGTCACCTCAAGGGGGGTAAGGTGTGGTCTGTCACGATGAATGTTTCCTGTCATGGATGGAAAAATTAATCTGGGCCACTGTCAGTCTCTGGCCACTGTCAATCAATCTTGTACATATGTGTTTGTATATCACTGACATTCTGTGATTCACACTGACAGGAATCATAACAAAGAGGGAATTAATTAATTAAAATAATACCCAGAGCCTTTGTGAGTAACTGCATCACTTTTTGGGGGAGTTTTTCATGCCAACAACCAGTGAGGCTGTAAAGCTGTCATGTCCCTGGTGCACACATGTCCTTTGCAGCATGTGATGTCACAGGCCAGTGATCCATAATATACTTAAATGCATTTTAAAGTCCAGCAGGTCATCATGAAAGAGAAGTTTATAGTCTGAAACTGGCAACTGTCTTTGCCATGTCCATTTTTAAACACCCACCAATCCCATCCGTGGGGATGAGTTAAATACTCAAAATAATACTATGGAATAAAAGTTTTAAATTTTAATATTTTTTCCTTTACCAGAGTGATAAAGTTTTCATTGAAGCCTCCCAGACAATTCAGAGCTGATTTCAAGAGTGTGCATTTTTAAATGACAAAAAAGTTATTATGAATAGAAAGTTAACAAGAGATCTTGAACAAAACTGTCTGTTGTGATAGATGGTGGATGAGAAACAGTTGCACACAGGATGATGGAGTGTGGTGATAACCGGGAATCTTTTCATCTGCAGGAATCTCTGCCTTCCCAAAACACAGCATTGATTTCACCAGTAATCATTGCAGTGATTGATGAGGATAAATCCAGAGGAAACCAGCCCTCTCTGCCTATGCAGGCCCTGATCCCCCAGCCCAGAGCGTGTCTCACAAAGCCATCATTGCCTACCCACTGCTCAGCCATCGTTAGCAGAACATTTTTGGTGCTTCCCAGCCGATTAGAGATCCAGGCATCCCCAGAAGACACCATGTCACCATCGGACTCTCCCAGTCCAAGGCAGTGTCCAAGGCAGCAGAAAGGCTTTGCCTCCATCACTGTCACAGCCAGGCGTGTCCCTGTGGGCTCTGGGGACCTGGCACATGGCGCTGGGGCTGGCCAAGAGCCCAACGCCGTGTCCCCCACGTCCAGCAAAGTCCCTGCTGTCCTCGAGCGCTGGCCTCCCCCAGCCAACGCAAACCAACCTCCTTCATTAGGTGAAGAACCCCAAAAGCAGCTTTTTGACCCTGGAATCAAGGAGGACGGCGTGGGTCTTCAAAGCAGTGATGGGAAGGAGAAAATGCCACCTTCATTCACCTCCCGTGTCCAGCTCCAGGTGCCTCAGCCGGGTCCAAACACCATCTATTATTTAGACAAGTCGCTCAATGTGTGCATTGACCAACCTCGAGTTAAATGCCAAAAAATTTATAGATCCACGTTGTCCTTGAGCCTGAAGTGCAGTTTGTCCGGATTAACAGCAGATGGAGTAGATGGCATAGCTAATGGAGAGCCCATGGAGGAGAGAGCTCCAAGGAAGATCCCTGGAGCAAACAGGGCTTCGCTCATATCACACCTGAGCACGGACTTCACGGGAAATAAGGTCATTAGGGAGGAGAAAACAAAGGAAGAACATTTGGGCAGTAAATACCCTTTGCAAAGTGTCTTTGCCTCAGGACTTCCAGCATTTGTGGAGATTCCCAGAGGACCTCACAAGGCAGCAGCAGCCACAAAGGAAGAGGATGAGCAGCCTGGCAGCCACCACAGTGTGTTTTCCCTCCAAATCCCCAAATGGAGCAATGAGGCAGGTAAGTCATTTCCATGAACCTCAGGCTGGTGGAGCAGAGGTTCAGGCTGGAGCAGCCCCACCACAGTGGTTCTGTGAGAGCAGATAACAGCAATCCTTGCTTCTGCAGAGGCTCAGGGAGTTAGAGCACAACCCAGAGGTTTCCAGCTCCAGCACTGCCATGAATATTTGCCATGCTAGTGATGCGTGCTGCTCATCAGCTGGGAGAGAAAAATCCCCCTGTGTTTTCTGCATTAAACCTCTTTTTTTAACCATCCATAACAGTATTTTTTTATTATTCTCCCAGCAACCTGCAAGTGCTTATCCCCTGAAAATAATTAGGTTTATCTTTGAATAAGGACTGAATTTCAAGGTGTGAAATTAAGAAGGAGATGACTGCGCTGAGCTTGGTTTTGTGCTCCTTGCAATTAAAAATGATCTTGTTTTCAGCTTTTATTTAGAAGGCTACAGTAATAAGCCCAGGCTTTTATACCTAATGGAACCAGGTAAAAGGTTTACAAATCTTGAACACATTTGTTTCCAACCTTTCCAGTCATTTTACAGACATAAAATGTTCTTTGCAGCGTTGCTCCTGCGGGAGGGAGAGGGAGCCCTGGGGATTGCCTCCTGCCAGAGTGGTGCAGCTCCTGCTGCACTGGGATTTTCCAGCACACTTGGATAACCACAGCTGAGTTTATTGCCTTTCCATCCAAGGTGGATGGGAAGACTGTCGATGAGTGGAGTCTGTTTTTTACCAAAAGCACAAAGATTAAACTTACCCCCTCTGTATCCTGCAGCCTTGGGCTACATTTAATTGCAATTATCCTGTTCTTATATGGCCTTTTTGATCTAAGGGTCAGTGCATGAACATGAGCCACTTCCTAAGGTTCCTTTGTACCTCCATCCCCGCAGTGTGCGAGTGGAAGGAAACAGAAAGATGAGAAGCCTCACGCTGCCTCCAGGGCCGGGCAAGGTGCAAACTCCTTGCAGTCTCTGCTGCTCTCCCTTTCCCATGCCTGAAATCAATGGAATTGTTCCTGCAGGGGCAGAGCCTGAGATAAAATATTCCTCTGTTTTCCTAAGCATAATCCAGGCTGTGCGGTGTTGGAGGGGAGATGCCAACCAGTGCTAAGGGGTTTGGGATAGAATTATAAAGGGATGTTACCAGCAAATTAAACATTTCATTGCATACATCCTGATTTTAAATATCAGGGAACATCACTTCATGGGGAGCATTATTATTGCAGGCTTTGTTCAACACCATCTGAGGTTTCTCTGTGATAAACCAGATTTAAAACTGAGCTTTCCCTGAGCTTAGTGATGCCATGGTGGCATGGAAGAACCACTTTTACTAGAAATAATTAGAAAGTGAATTGGGAGGCTGCTCTTGGTTCCATAGTTCCATTGGAAGGAGGAAATCGGTGAAGTAAGGAGCTGAGAAGTACTGGTTTGTGATAAAGGACTTCCACCATTTGTGTACACAAGACTATAGGTGTAAATAAACATGGGAAGTGTTACCTTTTTAACTGCTTCCACCTTTTGTGTGGGCCATAATGTAGAAGGTAAAGATACACATTTCTCTTGCTGAGACCCTTTGTAATGTGTAAGGAGATGTTTATCAGCTTACTACAACTTTCCTGTGTGAAATTTGTATAAACAACCAGAATAATGCTCCAAAGCCACAGCCTTTCTCAGCAGGATCATCCAAGTAATGAGCCATTAAATGGGACAAATCACAGAAACCTGGTAAAATGCATGGGACATCCACACTGGTCCTTAAAAGGAGAGGGAATGGTGTGATTTTAACCTGGGAGAAATGAAAAAACTGAGTCCTTTTTACTTCTGGAATGGGTGAAGTGAGGAGAAGTATTGGTATGAGATTATCAATCACAAAATCATTGAAGTTTGAAAAGATCTTTAAGATCATCCAATCAAACCAGCTCCCAACACTGCCAAGGCCAGCAGTGACCCATGTCCCCAAGTGCCACGTCCAAAGGGCCTTTAAATCCCTCTAGGACTGGACAACCCTTTTGGAGAAGAACTTTTATCCCATTCTAGATTCCCAGTTCTTTTGGATATTTTCTCCTCTGCTGTTTACTAATTCAAACCCGTTCCCATTAAGCCTTGCTCTGCTCCATGTTTATGCAATGAAATGTTTGTGAAATGAAGTGTTTAAAAAGAAGGGAGAAGCAGCAAAGAAGGGACAGTGAACAAGTTTTGCCACAGTGTTCGTGCTTTAGCAGTTATCTTATGGATGAGGTAACTGCGGAGAGCACTTTGTCCATTACATTTCTGATGACCCAGAAAGTTGGAGTTTATATTGGTTTGCAGCTGTAGGCAGGAGCTTCCTGCCAGCAGAAATACAAGTGGTAATAACATCACTATGCTGAAAAAAAAAAAGAAAAGAAAAAAGAAAAATTACTTTCAAGGCTACACTTCTCTGTATGGAATCTGTAAATGCCTTTTCCAGGATGTATAGGTTGCTTTATTAGGATCCGAGTTGGAATGAACACCCAAATACTTCTCTGCTTTACAGGTGCTGGGTTTGCTGTTTCCTATAGGCCCAATTGAGTCATGGCCTCTTGGAGTGTCTTTTTCCTAATCTTTTGTGTGACTTCACTGCAGCCATGATGACTCTTACTTACTGTATTACTCATATTATTTCACATCCAAATCCAAGTGTTCAAGAGTTGGCTTTACATGGACCTGGATAACTTAATCTAAGGCCCTTCTTTCAGCAAGAGGCTGGGCCAGGTAATTTCCAGAGTTATATATTTCCACCATGTGCCACATATGAAAAGGATGCTTTGGGATTATTAATGAAATGTAAATCTTGGGCTCTGCTCGTGGATGGGAATTACACTTGGAAATCCAAATCTCTGGGACTCAGAGTTCAAAGCCATGGTTCATGCTAGAGCATCCCAAGGATGGAATATGATATTTCCCCACTGTGGACTGTATCTTCTATTGGCTCCAGTGCTTTGGGTCTTTACTTCCATTATCTGGCAAGAAATTGGATTGTAAGTGCTGGAAAATCCATGTTATACATGAAGTCAGACTTGAACTGTGGGAGGACAGAGCTGTAGGACAGAGTTGTGTTTATTTTTAGTGAGTGGCCAACATTTCCATCCCTTGGGCAGCTGCAGGAACGTGTGAAGGGTCCCACTGGGGGCCCCATGAGGCACCCACCTCAGAGATATGGCCAAGGGCCAGCCCAGGCCAAGCTCCACGAGGTCCCTGTCACGGGTGATCGATGTGCATCACCCTGCCTTTGGTCACGGCTTTTAACAAGCTGTCAGAACTTGCTAACGTTGCTTTTCAGGCAATGCTGCAATTTCCTTTCCTGTCTGCAGCTGATGTCTCATAAATACAAGGGAAGTTAGAAATGAAAAGATTAGTCTTGTTTCTGCTGAAGACAGGAACATTTTTAATCTTAATTTCTCACCTACCTTTCATGAAGAATATATTCCCCATGAATATCTAGTTCTCCATCCATCTTTCACTATCTATTACCTACTGGGTTCTAGGCTGAATCATTAAAAAGGAGAAAAAGAAGAAAATGGGACAACTTTAGATTATTTTTGACCTCTTGATTAAACAATATCATCACTTTTCTAGGAAAGGTTATAAATGCCAACATCTAAATTTATCCATTTGAGCTTAGATAACAGTAAACTTCATCGTGCCTGAGAGCCTTCACACATCTCAGCTGTTTTCTAAACCAAAATATTTCCTGCTCACCTCTACACTTTCGTTCATGTGTTGTTGTCATACCCAAAACTGATGTGGAGAGATATTAAGGAATAACAGCTGAGGTGGAGAGTGAATCCAGTCTGGATGGTGGGTGCTGGATTCCACTGCCCTGAGATGAGGGGCAGATGTGCAAGGAGGATGGGAGGAGATGA